AGATTTCTTTTCTAGCATTGACTGTTTCTGAGAGGCACTACTTTCTGTAGCGATGTTTACAGATGGCAGTGCCACAACCTGTCCTACACAGAAAGCATGTGCACCTTTGGGGCTCTCCACAGAGCCACATGCCAGGTAAGTTGCAGAGTCAGAGTTGTAGCAACAAACAGCACTAACAGAAGCACAATACATGCTGCAGCACGTACCAAGAAGACCAGCACATCACTACGAAACACCACCCTCCACTGTAAATATATAAAATAAAACCACGTGGAAAGGCACATAGATTTGGGTCGGAATATGATGGCAATCCTAATAGAATTCAGGATTTTAACCATGGACTGTACAGTGTCTGGCAACCTAAACACAGATGTCAAATCTATAAAAGGAAATGACAGCATCCATAACTTTATCTTCTAGATGAAACAGTGAAAAATTGCTTTTTGTTTCCTTTTGAAGATTAATAAGTAAAAACGCAAAACCTAGTAAACGTATGAATTCCAGCTTTTTACTTTGCAAGACATTCAGGTTTCTAAAATCATTTGGTTATAAAAAGCTTCCAAATACAAATGATGTAAACTACCTGTACTAAATATTTGGCTTGTAACAACAAAACAAGAGTTAATTACTATTTTACTTTTAGTCTTCTAAAGTCATGCTAATGAAGACACTAATCAAAGATTGCAGTGACTTACATTTTCAGCCCTTGCCTGTTGTAGGTGGATTTCATTGAGCAATAAGATTTACAACTTTATCATGGTGCAATGTAGGTAAGGCTGAATTTATTCAGTTGCTAATGAAATGGGATTTGGGGACTCTCTTGCTCCAGCTGGGTGATAATTGGGGCTTACCACTGATAGGTCTAGGAAAAGGCTGAGAAATACTTAAGCTTGTTTTGCAGTTACTTGGAGCTCTTAGGAAAGCAGCAATTCTTCTACAATATTGGTCTGAAGTTTTTCTGCCTATACAAAAGAGGTAATGATAAGGTTTTAACTTATTTACAAATGAGCTGGTTATATGAAGTCTAACAAAAGACTGTTTTAATAAGTCTTTCTGGTTTAGTGCCTTTTGAAGTGTAAGATTGCTTTCTCAGGCAGCTCAAGTGGAATGTCAGTTAAGTAACTGGCTTCAGGGAAACCTTGCAGAACTTGCTCTCTGTGATGTCTGTTAACTTGAAATTCCACTTTTGATAAGTTGCCTGCCAGCACAATAAGCAACTCTGTGTAGGTTTCCCAAAGCAAAAAGAGGATCCTAAAGGCAGTTCCTGTTTATGGGGAAAACAGGGCATTGCATTCCTCTCTCCTTCCTGAAGATTATAGTTGTTCCACATTAACTATAAGCAGAAGGGCCTCTCAGATGTCTAAGTTAATGAATTAATCATAGAACTAATAAATGTAATAAGAGGGTAGCTCCTACCCTCATAAAAACAAGTACTTTAAAAGCAGTTAAAGCTAGAAACTAGACTGCAACTTGTAAGATATTTCATCCAGACAGGCCATAGATGTGAAAAAATATATTTAAAAAAAAAAAAATCTGTGGGAATACCTGCCTCCTTAATGCAAAGTACAGCTCAGCTGTGGAGCAGGCTCCTCTTTAAAGCCCTTCCTTCTCTGCAGGGAGCTGCTCCTCTTCCTCCTTTCCTTGGTAAGGATTGATTCAAACTCCTCTTAAAGGAGAACAGCTGCCTGTGAACTGAAAACCACACAACAGCTTTTAAAAAAATCAGTGGTTTTCTTGGCTTACAAGACTTTGGATTTGGTGATCATAGGATAGAGAGTTTTTTTCATAAGGGACTGGAAAAACATGACCTTGAATATACCAAAGTACTGTAGAGAGAGATTCCTCCAATTTTGATTTTATTTAGTTTTTACTAAAAAACACCAAATTATAAAGTTTGGTTTCTCTTGTAGGTTAAAGGAGCACTTCTTGAGAGGTTTGTGTTTTCCATGAACATTCCTTATTCAGGGCAAAATCAGCCATTTTTGTAAGAGAAAGCCATTTCTTTTTACATTGAAACAAAGGCTTGAATATCTAAACTTCCACAAGAAATAGATAGTGGGTTCTATGAATTTGTTCTTTAAAAAAACCTGTTCACTGATCTCCCAGGACATAGTCACATAGCTATGCTGCGTTTGTGCACAGGAGGCTTCTGTTGGGTGCAGGGCAGGATTTTTGTTTGGTGGGTGTGTTGGGGTGGGTTTTCTTTTTCTTTTTTTTTTTTTTTTTCTCTCCTTGAATAGTTTACAAGGTTGTAAAACTCCGGACTTGAAGAGTTTTTAACATCAAAGTGCTTGGAAGCACTTCAGTGCAGTCCAGACTTCTAGCACTTCAGAGTACTGCTTGTTTTAGAGATGTAAGTATGCAATGCAGGCCTGGGATAACAAGTCACCCAGAGAACTGATAGGTCAGCAAACCTCAAGCTTACAGTTCCAGTCCTGTTCCTTCCTTAATGCTGTTATATACCTGTCACAGTCCCTGTGAAATTAAATAATTCTGTGACTTAGTGTCAGAAAAAAAAACAGTCATGAGACCTGCTCCTAATACAAGTCACTTCAGTGCCAGGGCTCTGCCCCCAGTAGCCGAGGACTAGATGCATAAGTGGTTTTGTTCTTTTTTTTTTTTAATAGTGCCATAATCCAGCTGGTGTTCATATAAAGGTAACCCACACAGAGGGCATCTCAGCCCTTTCTGCAGTGATAGCCCAGAGTACGGCCTGTGACTGGCACTGTGTTCAGTACAGTTGCTGGGGCTGTGCTGATCTCTGGAGCTGACAGAGAACACTGTCTGTGCTTCCCTCCTGCTGAGTATAAGCAACTGCAGTGAAACTCCAAAGTTGTAAGGTCAAAAAGAGGGAAAAAAGAAAAGTGTTTAGCATAAACTAGCATATTTTTTTCTGTGAAAGAAGAATGGTGTTTCTCTGTTTCAGGAATCTTGTGGTTGAAGTTAAAAGACACTGGAGGGCAGATGTGGGAATCCAGGCCATAGCCTTGGGTCAAAAGCAGTAGATCTCAGCTGTTCTGGGCCCTGGCAGCTTCTCTGCTGTCTGAAGCTTCTTGGCTGTTCTCAGTACATAAATAATCTCCTCTGCATACCTTTATCCTGACTTCAGAGGAAAGCCTACTTGGCTCTAAGAGCAAAGGGCACTTGCTGCGGATGGGGAAAGGAAAATTGCCTGCCAAGCGTAGCTGGAGCATGAACAAGGACAGACACCATACTCACTAACTTCTTATCCAATTGGTCTTCACATGGCTTTATCTGGCAGAAAATGCACTTGGCAAATTGAGGTAGCTCAAGGAAAGAGATGGAGGTAGGATTGCAGTCAAAAAGACTTTATTAAACTTGTATTCTTTTTTCAGCAAGTGGACTTCCTGACCCTTGGCTAGAGTATGTTCTTGTCCCACCACAGAGAGGTTCAAATGTATGTACACAACCATGTGTCATACCATTCCTAGGGCCTGACTGGCAGCAAGAGCAGGATTTATCTTCTGGGAGAGTTGGGTGAACATGAGCTCAAGGTCTCGTGGTTTCCTGCCTGTGGAAGGGAATATTGTTCATGTGATAAGCTGTGCTGCCCTGCTGACACTTGACAGTCAGGTGCGCTGCAGTGAAGCCTCTGTGGAGCTTCAGAGCAAAGGAGAAGTGAAAGACGACCAGAATAATAATAATAGAGTTGCTTCTTCCTCAAGACTCTGTGAAAAAGCATTGAAATGCTTTCCTTAGTCTGAGGAAGAACTGACTGACATTCCCAAAGATTCTTTCCCTGCTACAGTTAAATTTAATTCTCTTGCAACAGAAGTATTAAGCTTAGGCAGGACCTCTAGAGGCTGTCTGGTCCAACCCTTAGTCATGGTACAACTAATCTCAAAGCAAGGTCAGGCTGCTCAGGCTCTTGTCCAGTTGAAGTACAGACTCAATCTGTTCCCTCACTGCCTGTGGAAAATTTAGGTTCGTTGTGGTGCTATTGCCTTCAGGGGTCCCAGCCTCAGAGCAGCAGATTCACATTTGGTTTAGGTTATCCAAGAGGCAAAGCTTCCCCTCTGAGATGCAAATTTAATTCTGGCTTAAGTACTAGGCCACTGCAAATAGGTTTTGCTTGTTTAACGAGAACTTCTGATGACAGTGCTGGCATCGTTCCAATGCCATCCCACCACCCACCTGTCTTCTGATCCAGTGGCTACACCAGCACCATTTGGCTGCACGTTGCGTGGTTCTCTGCAACGCAATCTTGCTAGAGGCTGTTGCATCAAATATTACTGTAGGATTTTAATGTGCCTCAAAGAAAGGAATCGGGATGTGGCTTTATTGAAATATACATAATTTTCTTCCTTCTCCCTCCACTTTTTACAAATAATAAACAGGACAGTTGGACTGATGAAAATTAGTTACATTGTAGTTAAGGGGATTAGTAATAGGGCTTCTGGCCATAACCAATTTCTACAGAGAAGAGGAGTATTAAGGAGGAAAATGTTCTGTTCCGTGGTGATTTGGTGTCGTGGAAAAAGTAGGCACAGTCTCAAACACCCTGTGCTGAGTGAGGGCAGTGCCAGACAAGCTAGAGCATCCTGTGCTCCAGCTTTGCTAGGCATTTGTTTGACCACAGCAACCTGCAGGAAAATCACGAAAAACAACGTAAAAGGTGCTCAAACACCTCTTGTGGCTTTGCCACAGAGATATCCAGCATCATCTGTCTCATGTATTGTTATGAACTAAGCTAAAAATTTCTTGCCCAGCTTGTGTCCCGAGGATGACTTTTGAAGACAAACAGTGTTCACTTCAGATCCTACCTGTCAGACTGTGAAAGAACAGAGATATTTCAGGCAGACCTAGATATGCAAGATAACTGTGCTGTCTTCTGTGAAGGGAATTGTGAACTCCGTAGTTCATTTTCCTAGATCTCCTCTGTGGGCTACCAACACTAGAGGACATGAATAGTTAAGCTGCAATCATCCTACTTCAGTATCAGGTAAACTTTGGTATCTCCTGATACATTTTAGCTCCTGATGGAAGAGCAAACTGTGATGACAGAGGTGCCGGCCGCCCTGAAGCGCCTGGCCAAATACGTAGTGCGTGGCTTCTATGGGATGGAGCACTCCCTGGCCCTCGACATCCTCATCCGCCACCCCTGCGTGAAGGAGGAGGACCTGCTGCAGCTGCTGCAGTACGAGCGCAAGCAGCTGCGGACCCTCCTCAACACACTCAAGGCAGACAAGTTTGTGAAGCTGCGCGTGCGCGTCGAGACGGGGCCTAGCGGCAAGAGCACCAGGCACAATTACTATTACATCAATTACAAGGTGCTGGTGGATGTGGTCAAATACAAACTGGACCACATACGCCGGAAAATAGAAGCAGATGAGCGGGATTCAACTACCAGGGCCTCTTTTAAATGTCCGTCTTGCTCCAGCACTTACACAGACCTGGAAGTCAAGCAGCTCTTTGATGTATTTACGGGTACGTTGCTTATATTGCTTGTTTGGTCTTATCTTCACTCTGACAGCGCAAAATTGGCTCCTGTGTGTTTTGCAATAAAAGCCTTTGTTAGGATATACTTCTTGTTTGCTGATGGACAAGGGCCTGGGACTGGAGAAGCTGGGAGGTGAGGGTAGGAAAAAGCTGTCTCAGTGTAACAGGCCAAGCAAGAGGAAGAAGAACCTTGAATATATGAGCTGGGGTTGGGAATCAGATTTCAGGCCTCAGCTTTGCTGTGAACACGACACTTAGCCTGGTTTAAGATTACTCATCCAAGTCTTGTGAGGCCCACTTCCTCGTACAGATAGGAGAACACAGTACTCGCTTTACTCCATTTTGAATCTTAGTCAATCCATTTGTGTGTTCAGTTCATCTGATGATAGTTAGACGAGCTAGATGAAACTGCAGCCATCTACTGTAATAAGCATATTGCAGCTGGGCAGCAGAGGAGAGGTGTTCCCTTGCTCCTGTGCTGGAACAGGCATATGCAGGCTCCTCTGAACCAAGGTGAAACATCCACAGCAGAAACAGCATCAGAGCTTTTGTGCTTCTCTTCTCTAAAATCAAAATAACTAAATAGAGACCATTCTTTCAAAATCAGATAAAATGGTATTGTATTGCAATAAGTTACTCTAAGCACAGCTACTGTGTTAACATTTGGGTTGTGGTATCTAGAAAGAAGCCCAGATCCAAGGAGAATGAACTTTGTATGACAAACTTAAAATGTCAATAGTGAAATCAGTGCACTGTCAGTTAGCAAAATCATCCCTTTGTTCTAAAGGGAAGGACTTTGTCAAGTTACTGAAATGCAAATGTGGAGGCTGGTGATATATTTTAACAGAGTATGCTTTAATTCTACATAACTATGTTTTTAGCATATGCTTTGGCTCTAGTTAAACAGTCTTTTTGAACTTCAGAATTCTGAACAACTAAAACCAGACACTAATGATTGCAAATGTCTTTTTTTTTTTCCCCTTATATTATGAACTAAGAAAAAGATCATATCAGAGAAGAAAAAGTCTCATGATACTCCAGGTTAGCCAACTTAATTTGCCCCATTGCCCCCAGTATAAACATTTTTCTCTTGCATAACAAGTTAATATCAGTCCTTCTCAAAAAAAAAAAAAGGGGGGAGGCCCTTGCCTGTATAACTTGAGTTCCCCTGGGTAATGTCAACAAATGGATAGAGTCAGAATATTTTGGTAACTGTCCAGGCTGTGGATTTCTTAATGAGGTACTGCTGATCTTTTGCATCCTCTGAACACAAAAATTTCCAGTTTGGATAATGTTGCAGAGACTTTCCGCTGCACTTACTGCAATACAGAAGTAGAGGAAGATGCGTCAGCACTTCCCAAGCGTGATGCTCAGACCTTGATAGCAAAATTCAATGAGCAGATTGAACCCATCTTCATGCTGCTGTGTGAGACTGAAGATGTTGTTCTGCCGTATGAGCTGCGGGAGCCTCAACCAACAGAAATACCAGAATTATCAGAAAGGTATAACATAACCCCAAAGCTTCTGATCAATACAACACACCCCCCAACAGCTTTCCAGTTGTAAAAGTCTTTGAAATGCTGAACTTGCAGTCTACTTTCTACTCTATTCTGCTTTGTTCAGTGCTGTCTGCTGCTTAATGAAGAGTCTTTTAATATCTAAGGCACTCTCAATTACTTCTATGCATTTATAGTTGTCTGTTGCCTTTAAGTAATTAACTTCCCAGACTCCTTCAACTACTGTTCATAGCCCTTTCTGTGAGAAAGTAATGCTTCTCTACCAGTGTTTCGTTCAGAGATGCTCTACTGAAGAGACCATCAAAAAATCAATGGTACAGAACCACTTGCCTCTGAGGGAACAGGGACTCCAAATGGCTTTAATATAGAGTACTTGTTAAAGCTAGTCAGCTGACAGAACATGCTTTTTCTGCCTTTTTTTGAATGGGAACTGGGGGGCTTATGCCTGAATTTAACCTGTTAAAAATGAGTGATATTTCATTCAGCTTTGATCACAAGGTGGGTTCAAGTGTGCTGGAATCCCACACCCAACCTGAACGATGGACCAACAAAAGTTCTTCTTTTGGCAACATGTATACCCAAAACTTAGTTATTGATGTCCAAGATTCTGAGCTGAAAAACAAAAAAACAAAAGCAACTAAAGAGCAACCTATCTGGATGTCACAGAGCACCATGGAAGAAGCAACAACAGCCACCAACAATAGTTTTGGTAAGTTCTAAGCATTAGCAAACACTTGAATTCAGCAGCCTTACCTGCATTTAAATATAGCTTTCCTTTTAAAGATTTAGTGAGCTTCATTTAGAATATAGAGTAATGCTTCAATTCTGCACTGGTGGCTATCAGATCTTAGTTTCTAAAAACTAGTCTTTAGACCGATTTAGGTAGTATTCCTAAAGCCAGAGGTCAGGTACCAGGTTCTGAAATTTTTGGCTCTAACCATGTAGTAACATTAGTGGTAATCTTTAAAGTGGAGAGCTCTTAGAGATGTCTGCACTTCCAAGAGAATTCTGAAGTGTGGGTAAAAAGAGAAAAAAAATAATTTATGTAGGATGCCTGTGATAACAGTAAACCACTGATATCTCTAAGTCTTATTATTGTGTATTAGGAGCAAGTACTTCTAAAGAAACTGAAGGAAGCATTAAAGAAACTGTCACCAATGATGAAGTCATCAAGACTCTTCTGATCCATGAATCCAAATCAACATCTGTCACAGATCAGGCTCCCGTCCAAAGCAAGCCACTCGAGTCAGGCAGTGACACTAGTGAGTCTGAAGATGATGCCAAGCACTTGGGAACAGCAGTAAAGAAAGGCGCAGGCAACACCTTTGAACAAGAGGAGGAACAGGAAACACAAGGTCCTATTTTAATGGTAGCTGGTCAACCTCATTTGTATAGTGAAGTCAGTGAAAATCCAGAGCTTGTAGCTCTTATGACAAATGAGGAGAAAGAAGCTTATATAAAAGTAGGGCAAGAAATGTTTCAGTCTGTCTTTGAATAGATACTACTGTATGAATATGCTAACTTGCACAGAATGGGTGAAAGCTTCTTTTGAAATCAGTCAGTCTAATAGTTTAACTTCTGTTCTTCAAAGTTTACTACTGAAGGGTTAAGTTTTGTTTGAACTCCTGTTCTGCAAGATGGTGATCCTGTAGTAGGTAATTACAGTTCAAAATACTAGCACTGTAGCAAAAGCAACCCGAAGTTATGATGGGTTTTCTGGTTTTCAGTTGTCTTAATGCTTAGACTTTGTGAATGCTGTAATTAGTTCTTGAACGTTAATTATTTTGGATACAATGCAGTCAGGTTAAAATCAAATTCCAAAAGCAATGTTGTGATCTATGATATCAATTATTTGACATTCCTCCCAGAAACAGCAGATAATTCCAGTACTGAAAAGGAGTTGAAGTCCAACATGACTTGGTTTCACCTCATCCTAGTGCATTCTATTGTTTTGTTGTTTTTTTTCCCCCCCCAAGGGAAGAGCTGTTGCCTCTTTCATCTTCAAAATAGAGTCAGAGCTGATTCTATTCTATATCTAACATAATTATCTGAATTCTTTGTACTCAGTTATGTAGAACTGTCTCTGAAGTGATGAACTGGACAGTAAAATAAAATTAATTTGGGTCCAGATTGGCAAAGAAGTATCAAGCAGAAGACTACTTCCTGTACTTTGTTCACACATGCTCCTGTAATCTTACCAAGGTCTTCCCCCCCTACTACCACTGAAAAAACACATTCTACTTAAACTGAACAACATATAAGGACTGGAATCAGAATATAAGAAAGCTGCCCAGAGAGGCTGTAGAGGAACGGTTGAATTAATTCTTGAGCTTAGAGTTTAATGAGCATATATAAACTAGATTTGTCTCAAATTATGTACAGATTTTCTTGTTCTACTTTAGGAAAATGTCCTCTCTTTGGTCTACTGAATTATTCTTGTGATTAAAAACTATAACCTTGTTTCACTTTCACAGGTTTGCCTTTGTCACAATAAAAGTTTTTTCTGTATACAGTATCACTGTCAGTTTAAAGCCTGCACAGTAACTAAACTGTCTCCAAACCTTTTGATATACTTTCTCTTTGGAGATGAGAGGCATGTGATTGTGATCTGCCACTTCAAAATTCACTCATAAAACTTAGGGACACTCCAAAATACTAAAGAAATCACAGAAGAATCAGACTCACTTTATTCAAACTTAAAGCATATTTAGGCTTCACTGTTACTAGACTGTCTCCCACAGCATAGAGCCATATTATTACACTAACCTCAAAAGATAAACCTGAGTTAGAGATGACCACTCCTTTTTATCTACTTTGAGAAAAGCCTTCTGTTTAAGACCTTTATAATACAACAGATATGCTGAATAAGCTACTTCTGGCTGAATTTTATGACTTAGTGTTATTAGCAACTCCAAAAAAGTCAAGTAAACTTTTGTTCTGGTCCAAGTTTTCCAATTCACTTTTTTTCTCCAGTCCTGAGTCCACCTTTGCCATAGGACTCTTCCAGGTACTGATTAAGCTTTTTTCAAATGTTAACTTTAATTTTAATATCCTAAATTTTTCTTTCTATATGAAAACTCTTCACAAACTCAAATACTTTAGAACAGATCTTACAGGCTTTCAGTTGCAGTAATTTTAAATGTTACCTGTGAAAGGATACTATAATTTTCAGATAGGTTTATCCCTTTGCAAACTACAAGTGCAAAACAGGAAATGCAGAAAAATACAAATGGTTTCTGCAGTTAAACACAATCCTGGAGTATTTACTTCACCTCATATAAATGTGCTTTTTTGTTTGTTGTAGATGAAGAAACTTAGTGTGAGAAGAGTTTCTTGTTCCAGGAAAAGCAGCAGTGTTTCTCCAAAAAGAGGACTAATGAACTGCTACAAACATGCCAACACTTAAAAGCAAGTTACCTTCCAACAACAAACTCTGCCTGCCATTTCATAAGCTAGAGGAAAATTTTTTTGAAAGACAAATTTACAGACAAGTCCAAACTTTATTTAAAACTACCATTTTGAACAATTTTAAAATTACTAAAACAAGTCACAATAAAAAAAAAAGATTAAGACAGAAAAAAAAAAAGTGCAGCAAAACTGAATAGAAGATGATTCAGTTCCAGCTGTTCAAACTGCCACAGGCAGAAGTTAACATACCTATCCTAAGAGGCAGTGTGTCAAAAATTTTACATTTTTATACACTTCCAGAATTCTGGGTAATTAGTGCTGGTCTTCCATATGCATTTGTATGCATGAAGTTTATAAATGCAGGTATCTTCAGGTTTTTCTCATGCACTTTGAGCTCCAAAAGTTTCTGTAAAGTAAGAGTATACTCATCATTATCTAACACCTACAAGGTATCCAACACAAGTTCTTGAACACATTTCGACTCCTTGGTAAGTACCCATTAAGGCAGCTCCATTAAATATCTCCTCCTCATCTTTTGTGAGCTACAGCCAAACCCCATAAACAAATTAAGAATGGTTAGTTGCTAGCTACCAATTTTGTGTGGCGTGGCACTCTTAGCCAGGCTGTTCCCACAGCACGCATATGCAGCAGTCGTCACACTGACACAAGAGACTCCTGCTAGTGTAGCTCTCACCAGCAGAGCAGTGAGGGGCAGTGAATAAAGTGGAAAGAAAGATGCACATATGTTGTCACTGCAACTGCATTAAAAAAAAAAGGCATTTTCATCATCGCAGATTGAGGAATTGGAACTATCTACACTAGCAGGAAACTACTACCATCAGAATATCCCATTTGTGCATTTATATATGCCACTATGAACCCTCTAATACCATAACTTGTGTCACATATTAACATATTTATATAAAACAGTTTCTTTGAGCTGCATGAAGCTTTCATAGCTGCATACATACTGTTTCATGAAAGTGACAAGTTTTTATTGCAGTCACATACACTGTAAGTTTTTTTTTTCCTGCCTCATGTTATGTTTCAAAAGAAAAAGAACTAAGAGATTTCACTATTTTGAAAAGTCTCCTGAACTTTTCTATTACAAAAACAATGAGCAGTCTGTCAACCAATTATATGGTGCACTATTAATAGTAATTAGGATTTACAATATTATTAAACCCAGGCTTGTGTAACAGGAAAAAAATATACTATTCCATTTTAATGTTTCAAAACCATTACCTTATAACACCCTTTTTACATATCTTCATTTTTATTACTTTACTAGTCATAGAATCTAACAGAAGCATATAGGAGGAATGCAGAAAGAAAAATTCCTTCATATCATAGAACGTTTTCAGTTGGAAGGGACCTTTAAAGGCCATCTAGTTCAACCCACTCACAGTGAGCAGGGACATCTTCAACTAGATCAGGTTGCTCAGAGCCCCATCCAACCTGACCCTGAATGTTTCTAGGGATGTGGCTTCTGCCACCTCTCTGGGCAAGGTGGTCCAGTGTTTCATTGTCCTCACTGTAAAAGATTTCTTCCTTATAGCCACTTCAAATCTCCCCTCTTTTAGTTTAAAACCATCACCCTATCACAACAGGCCCTGCTAAAAAGACTGTCCCCATCTTCTTACATGTCCCCTTTAAGTACTGAAAGGCCACAATAAATTTTCCACAGAGCCTTCTCTTCTCCAGGCTGAACAACCCAAACACTCTCAGCCTTTCTTCACAGGAGATGTGTTCCAGCCCTCTGATCATTTTTGTGGCCCTCCTCTGGACCTGGCTCCAATAGGACCATGTCCTTCCTGTGCTTAGTCACATGTTTCTTGGGATAAGAATACATTTTCAAATGCACGTTAACAAAAAAGGATATTCTTTTAGCATCATGATAACTGCTTCTTTCAATCTGTGGTAACAGGATTATTTAAATTCTAGACCACTCCAAAGTGTATTCCCAGTAGGTGTAGAGAAAGCAAAAAAGATTTTTACCAGGTTCTTTCAAAGTTTGGGCATCTCCTGCCAATTCTTGATCTTGAGCTCCACCTCTATCCAGTAATTCATCAGACAAAATGTTGGTTTGGGCCTCCGTTGCCATTTTCTTCATTAAATCTGCCTTTGAAAGAGATATAGCAAAACTCAAAATTATGGGTAACTCTTATTGCTGTCTAGATTAATTAAGACATTTAGGGTGTGTGCTTCTAAACCACCACCTCCCACAAACAAAAGCAAAGTACCTCTGAATATACTGCAAGTTTAAGGGGCAAGTCTTCAACTTTCACAAAGTCATCTTCATCAGATTTTTGGCTTACATTTCCAGAACCAGCTTCCTGTTAATAAAAGTGACATTTAAAAGAATTTCACTCCAAAACTAGATTTTAGACTATTGTGATAAAGTACATCAAACCCCAATGCCCATATGAAATTTGCAGATGAAAGCTGAACAAGACTGGAAACTAGAAATAACAATGATCTATAAAAAAGCTTCTCATTTATCTTGGCTGTGTCTTAACAGAAGTGTACGCACATATTCGTTCACTATCACAGGTGACTCCGTATCAGGGCTACCAGCCATAGAGCTTTCAGAACTTGCAGCAGACTTGTTTCCTGCACATGTTGTATCCAGCATCTGAGTTTCATTTACTGGTGAAGATGAGCTTGAGTCTTCTGGTTTCATACTGGCTGTTATAAAGGATTCTGGGGTATTAACTGTTAGAGGTGGTGTATTCTCCATGACATTGAGGTAATGAGGCAAAATTGTAGCTGCATCTTGTTCACCTAAAACCACAAAACTACATTTTAACTAGGTTAAAAGATTCTGAGCATACAAACATCCCAAATTATTATTATTATTATTATTATT